AACCCCATTTCTCCTAGGGCTTTCTTAAACTTCCTCAGAGAGATCCTCTAAGGACCCTAGACCAAGTTTTTTCCCCCACTTTTCATATGTGTGTAATAGATTCCTCCAGCATGCTTCTAATTGCTTGTTAAAAGTTTCTCTCTCCAACATGTGATTCATTAATATCAGTCAGAACCAACTCATAGCTGACTTTCTTACAGGAGATTACATGAAGTCACTGCTTGATTGAAGCAATCAGAAGGCATGACCTTTGGGTTAACAGCCCAACTCCTTATGGAATAAACCACCAGAGCTCCCTCTTTAACCTATATGCTTCATGAGATGTGTTCAACATTATATTTAGTACTTCAATATTTAAATGCATGAGTTCAACATTACATTTAGTACCTTGACATCTAAGTGCCTAGCATATATTATTGTTTATTGTTATGGTGGTGGTTGTATGCTATTAAGTCACAAATGACCCATAGCTGACTCCTCCAGTGGGTTTTCAGAGGCAGTAAATCACATGGGAGGAGACTGTCCTCCTGCTGAGAAGCTGGTGGGTTTGAACTGTGTGCCTTTGGGATTGAAGGACATCTTCTTGCCATTAGGCCACCACACTTCCTTAGGTGCTGTAGTTTGGATGAAATAAAGACCTTTTTTTTTCCCTTCCAGCCATATGTATTTATTTATTATACTTAGTTCAAAGAAAAGAAGCCATTTTAGTATAAATTATTTATGAATGATTTATTAGTCTGAGCACTTACTTAAAGAGTTCATGCCTAACTAAAGAAAGAGGAATCTAGTTTTTACCCTGAAGTATAAATCTTTACATAATCCTGTTACTCTAAACTCTGCCATTTGCAATGTGGACTGAAGACTCTCAGGCCTGAAGACTGTGTCTGTCCTTCCTTTGACTTGTTTCCAAAGTTTTTTGAACAATGAAAGTATTTCCCTTTTATGTCTGAAGTCTCCAAAGCTCTGATAATGACTCCTGCAAACCAAAACAAAGGAAATGAGATAGCCTGAATTGTATATGGTTAACAGAACTGGAATCTGAGACTGGCTTATCTTGGGTCTCTTTCTTGTATATTTAAATCATAATGGAATTGCATTGAATTTCTCCCTTTCCACTCCCTCACCATGACCTTGTTACTCTTAACTTCAGTATAACAGATATTAGGTCTGTTGTTTTTGACACAGAGATATTTTAATTTTATTTAAGAAAAATCTTTGGAATCTGTTGAAATGCCAGTATTGTCATAGTAAATGTGCATTTGCTAAAGTACACCATGTACTGTCAATGCCTCTCCTTTAGTTTAGGGAAAGGGAAACATCTTAAGTTCTTTTAATACCAGTTGCTCTACTGTATATTCTAACTAGCAGATTCATTCCTGTTGTTGTTAGGAGCTGTTAAGTACATTTTGACTTGTAGTAATCCTACAGGGCATAGTGGAATTGCCCAAATCATAATCAGCAAAGTTCTCTGAACTTCCTTCCTACTGTATTCACGTAGGAAGAACAAACTAACCACTAAGCTTTTATCAGATTAATGTCCTCTAGTTCCTGTATCTTCATTTCTGAACATAGGATGTGAATTCTAAGAAAAGAGGAAACAAATGTTCATAAAAGGTGGGGTTTTGAGAGAGATACCTGTCCCCTTGGAAACGTCTCAACTAAAAATTCAATAGACAGTTGTCTTTGTATCTGTGCCATTTACTTACTTGGACTTTCTTCTTCTAGTTGATAGCCCGTATATGCTAGATATGAATTATACAGCAGTAAAAAGGTAGAGCATAGTCTCTGCCTTTGTAAAGACTGAAATGAATTGTGGCAGAAAAGAGTAATAAAGAAATAATTGCAAGGCTCATCGTAAATGAATTAACTGCATAATGATAAATGCTCAAAAGTAAGGGGCAAAAAACTATGGTTTGCATTATTACCAGAGACATTTAGGCGTAAGATGAGTGTACAGGGAACTAAGAGTATATGTAGAAGAGTGAAACACGTTTTCTAGCCAAGGGACATGAGGAAGAGTTTCCTGAAGTGACTTGACTGAGCCCAGTAGGATGGACAAGCAGGCAGCTGCTAAATGAAGGGAGGTGGAGGTAGACCATAGAACAAGTGCCTTAATGCTTGTGAATTTAGCTAGTTAGGGAGTGAAAGAATACCAGGGTGGTTACTATTCAGGTAGGCAGTACTTCAGCAACAGCAAGATACTATCTAATCTATGGATGCATGTGATCCCATTTTTGCCTTGTTGAATATGCACTGCTTATGGATGGTGAAGAGATTGAGATTGTTCATAGCTTTAGTTTGCTTGGCTCCACAGTCAACACTCTTGGCACAAGTATCTAGGACATTAAAAGGCTCATTGCCATGGGAAAGTCTGCTGTTAGGGACCTCTCCAAGGTGCTGAAGAGCAATGGTGTCTCTCTGGAGACTAAGGTGCGTCTGATACAGGCCATGGTCTTTGCAATCACTTGTT